ATACACTGGACTGAGTGAGAGGCCTGGGCATTTTCACCTTCCCCTCATTGCCCAGCCTCAGATGACATCACATATTCACTCAACCAAACCTTTTCTCATAGGATTATTGCAAAGATAAACCCAGTCTTCCAAGCCACCCTGAACTCTATGGAGGAGAGGATAATACTAATGAGATAAACTAATAAATGACCAGATTACCTTCAGTTTCATCTCGTATTCTGCAATTATATGCCAGAAATGAAATCTTCATTATTACTGTGGCTGTGTCTTGGGTTTTGTGCCTTTTAGGAAGAAACTGATCTGTTTGTTTTCAACAACTACTCTTTTCTTTTTCTGGTTTAAGACCTATCTTCCACAGCCTGCATTTTGTCCTGATTCTGTATACAAGCTAATGCTCAGCTGCTGGAGACGAGATACTAAAGACCGTCCCTCCTTCCAGGAAATCCATTGCCTCCTTCAAGAAGCAACTACTTCATAGTGATGCCTTTCTTTCATACCCCAGGCCATCTGCCTACTTCATCTTCCTTCTCTCTCCTTTCCCATCCTCCAAAATGTACACGTAGAAGTACTCTTGGACTCACCATTTCCTTCTACACCAGAGATGGAATTTCAATTTCACCAATGAAAATAAAGGGAAAAAGTTGGGATCTGACCACATCTGCCAAATAGCCACATTCAAGATGCTGTGCTTTGAACTAGCAAAGACTGAGGAAAAAAACTATTATTTATCTTGTAAATGTTGTAGGTTCTGAAATGAATAGATTTTGTCTATGAAAGGAGAAGGAAAGCATGAGGTACTCTTTACCTGAGGAAAAAACTTGAGACATAACCTAAGTGTGGAACTGAGCTGAGAATAAGCACACATAGCAGGGAAGTAGTGAAGTATCTAGCACAGGGGTAGGCAACCTTTCCCCTTTAAGGGCCGAGGGACTTCAGTTCCCAGAAGCCTCAGCCATGTTGGCCAATAGTCCCATGTTGGCCAATAGCTCCTGGGATTCTGGGAGCTGAAGTCCCTCGGCCCTTAAAGGGGAAAGGTTGCCTACCCCTGATCTAGCACTATAGTACTTTATGCCCAGAGCTATGTGTATGCCTCAGTTATGTAGATGTGTAGAATGTGGACAAAGAATTTTGCTTCTTTCATTTTCATTGCTTTGTATATAGGCTTTAACGTGTGTGGACAATACTTGCTGAAGATTCAGAAGCCAGAAGGGTTGCTGAAATAAATGTCCAGTGATTTGGGAAAGGCCTCTGTGCCTTACATAACTCCACATGAGTAACAAATCCAGGCTAACCTGTGTAAAATAAATCTAAGATTGTGTGTGTAGATTGTTCCATTTGTACACATTATACACACTGTAGCTGTACATGCTGAATATTTTAGAATGCAGTACTTTGTACAGAATTTTTCCCTGTTCTGCTGTTTTTGTGCCTGTTGGTGCCCTACATGAAATACCAGAAGCTGTGCTGATAGCCTAAACAAACCTCCAGATGCTGAGGCAGCAGACTTTTCTACAAAAAAAGTTTCTGGTGCCTAACTGTGAGTGATGACCTCATGCCCTGCTACCCTCACATACTCTCAGCTTGGCTTCCAAGAACATCTGACTGGCTGTGCTTGGGAACAAAATGCTGGAATAGATTATTCAGTTGGACTAGATTATCCTTGTCCAGCCATGCTCTTCTGGGGATACATCATTTTCTGCTCAGAACATCTTTGTCTTCTGAGTAATCAGTGGCACTCTTAAGACTTTATCAGTGAGGGCAAGTCCATGGGCCCTGTAATCCAAGGGTTCAAAATGACAGCAGCAGTCATCACATTTCTTTTTTTAACTTTTTGCAGAGCTGTTTCATCTTCTTGAAAAAGCAGTGGTGGATGACGATAGTGGTGCAGTTTTATGTGACTTCAATGTGTAGAAGGCTGCATGCCCATTCTGCAAAAAGTTAAAAGAAGGAAAACTTTGCTGCTCTCCACCCATTAATAGGGGATAGGGATCACAGAAACCTAGAATCTTAGAGTGGAAGGGGCCAAAAGAGCTATTTGATCCAACCCCATGCCTTGCAGATATACACAACTGAAGCACCCATAAGAGATGCACATCCAGCAAATGGTTGAAGGATTCTCAAGATGGAGAATCCACTCCCCTCAGAGGTATTCTATTCCACAGTCTAGCAACTCTTACAGTAAAAAAGTTCTTAATGTTTGGATGGAATCTTTTCCCCTCTAATTTGAATCCATTGGTTCATTTTCTAGACTCTGGAACAACAGAAAACAAGCTTGCTACATCTTCAACATGGCACTCCTTCAGCTATTTATCATGTTTTCTTCTCCATGCTACTCAACATACCCAACTCCCTAAGTTGTTCCATATAAGGCTTGATCTCCCTTCTCTGGGCACACTCCAGCTGATCAGTAAGTATATCCTTGAACTGTGGTATCCATAAATACAAAAAGTATTCCAGATGAGATCTGATCAAAACAGAATAGAGTGGCACTACTGCTTTCCTCAGTCTGGATACTATACTCTTGTTGATGCAGCCCAGAATTGCTTTGGCTTCTTTGGCTGTTGCCTCACACTGTTGATTCATATTTGGATTGTAGTATACTAATTCCTTTACACATATCTTGCTTTCAAGCCAGATGTCACCCATTCTTTATTTTTGCATTTCATTTTTCCTGCCTAGGTATAGTCATTTTTCTACAGATTAAAGAGCAACCATTGATGAGCACTCTCTGGGTTCAGTAGCTCAACCAATTACAGATCTACCAAACTGTAACACTGGGGCTTTGCAGACGGCGCAAAGCGCCGTCTTCAAGCCAACGAAGGGAAGGGGCAGCTGGACGCCGGGCGCCCCAACCCCTTCCTGAGGACGTCATCGGAGCACCCGCCGTTGCACATGGCAAGCACTCCAATGATGTCCTTCCAGCTCAGTGTCAGGACACGCTGGGCCGGAAGGGACGCCAAAGAGAAGCATGGTGTCTCTTCGGGCGCCTCTTCTGCCCGCTCTGGAAGGAGCGCTATTTTAGCACTCCTTCCAGGGCCGCCCAAAGGGTGGATTGGGGCCGAGGCATGGGGCAGCTTTGCCCCAATCCTCTGCTTCTCAGGGCGGCCCATGACCGCCCGTCTGCATTCCCCCACTGTCTAGGCCACAGTTCACCAGCTTGTCTGCAAGGATATCATAGGGGACCTTGTCAAAAGCCTTACTGAAATCAAGACATATGTCCACAGCACTCCCCTGATCTACCAACCTTGTGACTTTGTTAAAAAAGAGAGAGTGTGAGAGAGAGAGTAGCATGACTTGTTTTTCAAAAACCCATGCTGGTAATCATGTTTCTTTCTAACCACATTACCGCACTACATTCTTATAATGCTGTTCCACTTTTATTTCTCTGGCTGCCTCCTGTTGCATTCTGGGGTTTGTAATTCAGTGAGACCTAAGAACTCTGGCTGAAAATTCTAAATGTCCCTCCCTAAACTCCAAATCCCAGAATGTAACAGGAGGCAGCCAGAGCAGTTAAAGTGGAATAACAGTACTGTAAGAATGTAGTGTGATAATCTAGTAAGTGCATGCAGACTGACTGTTCAGTGATCTATTCTAGAACCTTTCCTAGTATCAACATTAAAATGATCATTCAGTAGTTGCTGAAGTCCTCTCCTCCCCCTTTTGAAAAGGGGGACAACATTTGCCCTCTGCAATCTGCTGTATCCTCTCCTGTCCTCCAAGAATTCTCAGAGATTATTGACAGTGGCCCTTAGAAGACAACATCCTTTAATACTCTTAGATGCAGTCCAGCCAGCCCTGGAGACTTGAATTCATAAAGAGTAGCTATGTATTCCTCTACTAATTTCCAGGTTGTAGTCCTCTTTCTGCATGATTTACTCTATTTTCACTAGATAGAGCACTGTTTTCCTTTTGGGAGAAGACTAAGGCAAAGGTATGAAACAGTTCAGCCTTCTGCCTGTCCCGTTAGCATTCTACCATCTTTTCTAGGCAGTGGCCCTACCTTTTCCTCCTTCCTCTTGCTTCAGATATAACCAAAACCCCATCTTTTATTACTTTTATTACTTTAACTTCTCTTGTGAGCCTGTCAGGGTTTGAAAGCCGGTATGGTTTGAGTGTTG